TCCGTTGTCCTGACTGGCTTGTTTCTTTTAGCTGCCTAAGAGATAAGCTTTCAAAAAGAATCATTTAGTTTGCATGCAGAATTTAGAGAGAATATAGACAGGCAAGAGACGTTTCTTTCATGTCCAGTCTCCTCAGGAAAAAAAAAAAAGAGAGAGAGAGAAACCCAGAAGAAATGAAGTAACTTGAGTAAGGCCACCAGGGGAATCAAGGAAGGAAGGATCCAGATGCTGAATTCAGGTGCCGTAGGCTTGGTATTTCCCATAACACCATAATTCCAACAGTGAATTCCTGTTGTATTAATCCCAGCTGTATTAAACAAGAAACCCCAGGAAAGTGCCCCATCAGCATGATCTACACTCAGGAGAGCTCAGGACAACTCCTTGGATTGATTTATCTACACATTTCGATAGATGGCTAGGAGCCAAATTCTGAGCCTACCAACCTCAAACCCTCCAATTTTCTAGAATCAATGAAATCCACTATATGTTTAAAAGTGCAAAGCAGTCAATTCCCACAATAATTATAAGCCTTAAACTTTGCAATGAACCAAGCAGATGTCAAATAAGTTCCAAATACATTTTAATTCTAATTTTAAGATACCCATTGATTTGTTGCACAAGATTTGATGTCACTTGACCTTTCTGCATCTTAATTCCTTCATCAGAAAAATTAATATTCCCCAGAGCAGCACACAGAGATAATTAATGAGATAACATATCTAAGGGAGGAATTAAAAACACACAAAACTTTTTCCACTTGGCTGGTACCCTGGTGTTTGAAACCAATGCAGAGTATCTACAAAACAAAATTTTTCTAGCGCTAGAGATATGATAGGGAAAAAAAGTATCAGCCATTTTGGGGGCACATGTCTAAGGCTTTGAAAGCAGGCAGAGAGTTAAAAAAAAATCAGAACCAAAAGGGAAGGTGTCATGTCCTGTGCATGGCAGGCAATTCCGAGGGTAAAAGACTCACAGTCTTAGGAGACTAAGGGGCAATTGGTGTAAATACAGGAGTGGGCAAAAGTAGGTTTACGGTTATTCGTATGGAAACTAACACAATAATTAATAAATAATAATACAAGAATAAAATCTGTGTTTTGCATACTCACAACTGTAAACCCACTTTCGCCCCACCCTATATAGTGCAAAAAGGGAGAAAAGCAAAGTGTGTGTAAGGCAGCCAATAGGAGATTATAACGAATTCTTCCTTGAAAGGGGATAATCAGAAGTTTTCACAGAGGCAATTCACTGAGCTGGATTTTACACAGATTATGGACCTGGTAGATAGCAGATGCCTATTAAATATCTTTCAAACAAATGAATTAAAAAGGCTTTACCCACAGAAGTATCACCAAGGGCAACAGCGTAAATGGATGGAATGTGGAAATTCCAGAAAACTATAAGTGATGTATTCAGTATCGCTCCAGTGACAATTTGGAGGAACAGCACAGTTACCACCATTAGTGAGGCTAGAGATGGATGCAAACACCAAATCTCTGGGGCCTTGCATGCCATACTGATGTTTTTGTGTGTGTCCTGTTGGATTTTGGAAGCTATGGATGTTTGGACAATGCAAAAGGGTGTTCCAGGTAAAGGCACTACGATAGACAGGCAGAGGTACTCTCCAGATCCAGCCCCCCACCTCAGTGAAGGACTTACTGCCCCAGCTGCTAAGAGCCCTGTTGATAGACAGCCTTCAGCTGGGCCCCTTCGGGGTCTGCCACGGCTGGAGAGCTACCTCACCCAAGTGCCAGTCCATCCAAGGCAGGGAGGGGATAGAGTCCCAGCCAGCTTGGCCCACCCTGCAGCAAATTTTGACAAGTGCTTTTAGTTCCAAAGTTCCCTGTGGGGTTGGCCAAGGCGGTCTTTAGGATTGTCCTGCATCACAATTCAACTTTTCTTTTATTTCTATTTCTTCTTAGATCTATGGCCAGATCAAAACCACGACCCAGGCGGGGGGTTGGGAAGGTTGGCAGGAGGAGGGAAGTGTTTGAGGCAGGCATCAAGGCCAAACATATTTATATCAGGTAGGAAATTCATTTCTTCTGTCTCTGCACATCCTCCTTCCCTGCAAGTGACAGCTCATGTTTTGGAACCAATGAAGTAGAGAAAAAGAATCCCTAGAGTTGGGATCAGGAGTTCAAGGCCAGTTTCTGTTACATGTCTGGGTCAAGCCACGTCACTTCTCTGAGAATGAGAAGAGCAATGGGAAAAATTGGAAAGAACAATGCCATTGTTTGAGGTTTAGTCGAGGGAGTGGGCAAATACACGAAATAACACTGGATAGTGCTTTATAAACTGTGTATACAGAGTGGGGATGAATGCTATCTAAAACAATAAATAATTGTTTCTGCCCCTTGATTAGATTGTCTGTGTAAACTTTCTACCATGGTCAGAGCTGCTTCATGGAAAGGTTATACTTCCACCTTGTCTTTGCGTTTGTGTTCCCAACTCCTAAGCGTGGGAAGGTCAGGGTTGGAAAAATGAAGTGGAAAATGGATCACAGCTGAAATCATATGCCATCCTCAGTATGGATAAGCTTGGCCCCTATATGCCCAGGCAGTTGAGGTTATGCCTCAAAAAGCTATGCATACACACATTGCATGATGACAAGCTCTGCCAAACAAGGTGGAGCATCTGTAATTTCATTCCCATCTTTAGCTAAAATTGGTTACAATGTAGTGTGTTAAGAAAAAAAATAATATTCCAGGCATTGAGAAAAAACCTGGATTATACCAAAATGATTGTGTTTGGGAGAAAAGATTGTAAGTGAGCTTTATTTCTTCTATGTGAATTTCTACAAATTTATCCATTTAAATAAAAAAATTTGTTACCATGAACACATAAATACCCTTTTGTGATCATATAAAAATAGTCATAATATAAAATGAAAGTTTTAAGGTTTCTATGATTTTCTATAAAGCTGGCTTCACATCCCATCTGCAGCGTCACTGGGCTTGAGAGGAGGAATAAAATGAATTCTAGAAATCACAACTTTCATTATTGAACAGGAACTTGCCAGAGAGCAAACTCCACTCTGGGTCCCTGAGTGCAACCACCTGTTGCTTGTAACCTGTTAGAGACTGGCTGCTTGTAATCTGTTAGAGACTGAATGTTTATGCCACCCCCCCTCCAAATTCATAAGTGGAAGCCCTAACCCCTAATGTGACTGAATTTGGAGATATGACCTTTTGGAGAAAATTAAGGTTAAATAAGGCCATTAGGATGGGGACCTGATCCTAAAGGATTAGTGCCCTTATACGGAGAGGCACCAGAGATCCCTCTCTCCTCTCTCTCTCACCCTCCCTTCCTCTTTTTTTTTTTTTTTTTTTTCTCTGAGGAAAGGCTATTTGAGGACATAACAAGAAGACAGCTGTCTGAAAGCCAGGAAGAGAGCTCTCACCAGAAACCAAATCAGTTGGCACCTTGATCTCCAACTCCAAGTCTCCAGAACTGTAAGAAGTATAAGGGACCACTCTAAGTGATATCAGGGACTGTAGTCCCATGCAAGCTGGGGCCTGGGAGAGGCTCCAAGTTTTGGCCAGAAAACTGGTAATGCATTTGACAGGCAGGACCCGATAATAGCTCCAAGGGCCCCTGGGGGAAATCAGGCCTAGAAATAAATTATGCTCCTTGAAGCATGCTCTGTTTCTCCCTCAAGCTCTGTTATTCTCACACCAGATAACTGGCACTCTGGGAAGGAAATTTACATTATTCATGGACCCTGACCCTAAACCATTTGGCACCATTATGTTTACTCTCATCTTGGAAACAAGCAATTTGTTGTGTTTCCTGCCATTTCTCTTCTTCAAACATCACCTATTCTCTGTAAATATTCCTGCTACTTATCCCCTGTTGGTAACTCTCTCATTAAAAGCCATTAAGCATGGGGGCTCGGGGCATTCCCCACTAGAGGGAATTGCCTTCCCCTTTCCTTGACAGACAAATGGTGTCTGGAATGATTCTTCCATCCGCAGAAGATCTGGGAACTTTGCTGGCCAGAGTCCCCCATAGAGAAGTAAATTTCTGTTGCTGAAGGCCCACCCCGGTCTATAGTATTTTGTTATGCAATCCAAATAGACTAATTCATACATGAATACCCAGAGGCCCTGTGCCAGGCACCCTCAGTACCCAGCAGCTCTAGAATTCCATGCAGTGTCCAGTTCTGCCCTGAACCCGGGCCCCAGTTCAGAGGCCTGAAGATCAAGCTGTGAGCCAGAAGAAGATGTCACAAAATCACAATTATCCTCAATATCCATAGTGAACAATGTTTCATGCAGGGTGAACCTAGACCCTTATATTTGCATTGATGATGTCAGCCTTTACTGAATTACCAAGTTTCAAAGGACAAGAGTCCCTGTAATTGATCACAAAGGACTGGTTCCAGGACAGAGTCTCTTCTGTGTGCTCTCCATCAAGTGCTATGTCACCAGTATAGCACAAATTGCAGTGAGCAGGTATCACACGTAATGTCACAACAAATGGTTTTTATCAAGAATGCCTTTATTTTCACACTAGGTAGTCAGGATGAAATTTCACTTTTTCAATGTCCCTTTTTCCAAACCTCTGCTTTGACTAATACTTCCAGGTTTTCTAATGGTAAAAAAGAAACCAAGAGTCAACTTACTTTCAAATTAGTTTGTACTCACTGCTTACATTGATTTTTCTTCTGCTTCATAACATAATAATAATAATAATAGTAATAATTATAATGTTATGTCAAGGTCAAGTTTCTTTTCCATTCAGTTCTAAATCATTTAACTAACTTTCAGGAAAGTTTTGGTTACTTCCTAACCACTAGAATGCAGTCCTTCTCAAATCACAGATCGTTTGGCCCAAGCACCTGCTGGCAGGAAAAAATCTAGGGGGTTAGAAATCAACCTCTGGGATTGTAGAGTGGCTTCATTACTTATGAGCTGTGAGGCTCTGTCTCAAGAAAGGTAGTGTCGGTTTCATCAGCTATTAACACAGGGGCAACAGTCACGAGGCTCTGCCTGACTCTACAGAGGTTTGGGGACACATAAAACCTCACATTCTTCGTTGGTTTCGAACCGGTTGGCATTGCCCCCACAGCTGCCTAACCAGAACTGTTGACAAGCCCGCTCCTCCTTGTTATAGTAGCATTTCAGGATGTAATCCTGGGACTCGCCTTCCATTGGATCCATAAAACAAGGACCTGCCACAAAACAAATGCAGAGAGTTGAATTTTCTGTATGAGAATGACAAGAAAGGAGCAATGGTTCGGTGTCACAGACTTGGAAATGAATCCTAGCCTCACTACCAACTTGCTGTGTGACCTTGAGCAAGTAACTTAACCTTTTGAGCCTCAATTTCCTGAACCATAAGAGCAATATTTTTAAAAAACCTTAATCACAAGTTTGTTGTAAGGTGTCACCTAACATGTGAAAGGTGTAATACAGTTATAGCTATTATTTTGCAGATTACCTAACACATGGTAGATACACCAAACAACATACAAATGAGTAAGTGAATGAATGAATGAATTAATCTTTCTGATACTGAGAACTCCTTACTTGCTTATTATACCATTTCCCTCTTTTTCCAAACCATCTTAATCTCTTGCCTAAGCTCACAGCTTTCTAATAGCCTAAGCAAATCCAGTTTACTTATTATTTATTGTGCCTTGACACTTGCCCAAGAAGTTAATATGACTATTACAAGAAAAACATGGTGGTCCTGAAAAATGAAAAAAGCACTGAGAATCAACAAGTCACAACAGAGCCGACTCTGGCATACACTAAATTTTAAGTGAGACATTAATTTTGCCAAGTGTTCTTGTTTCAGATCAGCCCTGCAGCACAGAATAGTGGTTTCCTCCAAACAGTTTCCCCCTGGGCCTTCCAATCCCTTCCAAATAAAGAAGACATTATTTTCAGAAAGCAAGAGTTAAAATTTGTGGTCTGTCCCTGGAAAGCTGCCAACTTACCTCCATTAGTATAGTCAGAACAGACTAGTTTTCTTGAAGGAATGACCAGATGCGCTGGACCCAAGAGGATGAGATACACTCTTAGTGAGGTAAAGAATTGTCCTACACCTTGAACAGGCACATTTGAATTGGCCTTCTGCATGACAGATGCTGGGGCTGGGTGGGAGTGGGGGTGGAATGAGGAGTAAGATAGCAAGCAGTGAGGGCCCAGGAGAAGAAGCCAGAGCGAAAGCTCTTCCCACACTCAATGAGAGTCAACAGGAAAGCACTCCACTGGTGAACTTTTGACTGTACTCTGTAGGTTAATATGTCAATTTGTGACTCAACAATTAGTTGGCACCAACCTGTACCATTACAAATGGATTCCAAATTGACAAGCCAAGGACCAGTTTTAATAAACCATTCATTTTTTTCTAGTGACATTTTGTGGCATTTGCCTTTAGAAGCTCCACCCTTGCCTTTAATCTGGGAGACAATCAAACAGGGGCTTCTTCTCCTAGATTATTTTTCTAAAGCAGCACTGCCCAGCAGAACTTCCTACAATGAGGGAAATGTCCTGTATCTGCACTGTCTAATAGAGTAGTCAATGCCTATGTGTCTATCGGGGATTTGAAATATGGCTGTTGCCACCAAGGAACTGAATTTTCAGTTCTCTTTAATTTCAAATTATTTTATATTTAAATAGCTGATGTAGCTAGTAGTTGGTCAGCACAGCTATAGATAAGTAAATTCTCAATGCTTTAAATTGCTTATCTCTAAGAAATTCTTTGCAACCTAAGGAGGGCTCAGAGTCCTAAGTTTTCTTTTACCAGCATGATATGGCATTGGGGAGTAAACAAGTGTTCACCCAAGTTATTATGGTTAGCCCCCAATTTTACATTTGTATTATTTTTACCATCAATGTTAATTTTTGCCTTCTTGGAAGATTTCTGTAGCAGCGATCAGTTTTATTCAAACAAGCCCATGGAATGCAGGAATGAAGAAAAGGGGAAGAGAAAGAAGAGAGCTGGGTAGGTATGAAGAACAACTACAACGAAACTGCAGTTTGCCTGGGCTGGTTCTCTCTCCTGGCATATATGTCTCATGATGTAGCCCTACTTGGAGGGAAAAAAAAAAAAAAAGAAGATGTGTGCTTTGGCAATACCACTGAAATTGAAAACTATACCAGCATCAGCCTGGCTTCTTTGACAAGAAACGACATTTATTTCTTTACAAGTAGGTGCGATGAAAGGACACAGGCACCATGGCAGAATCTGATTTAAGACACAGGGGCACAAAAGAGGCCATGAAAATGTAAGACTATGTGGGGGCCAGAAAGGACTCTAGAAGTGAGACTTGACCTGAGTATTAAAAGATAAGTAGATGTAATCCAGGTGGACACTGTGCAGAAGATGCAAATGGACAGGTGAGCATGAGCAATGGCATGAAGACTTGGAGTAAAGAACAGGGCATAAGGGGCAACTACAACTAGAGCAACAGGTAGGTGTAGGGAAGTGGAAGCCAAGAGGCCCCAGAAGACACAGCAGGAACTAACTGCAGTGGCCTGTATGCCTCATCTAGGCATCTTAACATTATCTTATAAGCCATTGGGAAATGAAGAAGAGAAATGACATGACCAGATTTCCATTTTAGAAGAATTAACTTGGTGTTCAGAACGGAATTGGAAGGAGGACAAATTGGAAGAAACGAAAGCCATTAGACAGCCCTGCAATTACACACCAGGTGAAAACCAAGGTACTAAGAGAGAAGATTGCAAGAAAGGGGGTGGATCTGAGAGACGCTGAGGAGGAAGTCACACCAAGAGGTGGTCCCCATTTGGAGGCAGGAGTGAGGACAGGGGACACAACTAGTGGTGTTTGGGTTTTGGCCTTCCATTACTGGGCCAGCAAAGGAATAAAGGAGGAGAAGGTTTGAATGGGAAAGAGGAGTTCAGTCTGTTTAACTGAGTTTTTCTGAGATGACTGTAGGCTTGTGCAAAGGTGCCATCGGGAGGGTAATTGATTGAATATATTGGTCTGCAGCTCAGGAGAGAGTTAAAGATGGAAGCTACAAATTTGGAGTCATCAGTACAGAGGGGCTAGTTGAAGTCATGGTAGGAAAGCTTGCCCAGTAGTATGTGTAGGGTCCTTAGAGGATGGAAGACAGAACCTTGGGGAAGGCATTGCAGATTTGGCACCCCTCATATGCATAAATCTCTTCTGAATAAATACTCACTTTTGAATTTAATTTTAATAACTTTATATTCTTTTCTTAAGGAGGGCCCCTAACTAGTATAAATTTCAGGTTCCATAAAACCTGGTTCTCCCTGTGGGGATGGGTCTGGAAAGAGGAGCTCCCAAAGGTGGATTAGTCAGAAGCAGAACAAGATAAGAATATCTCCGAAGCCAGAGAAGAGAGGGTTTGAAGAGGAAGGTAACAGCCAACAGTGGCCGCATCCCAAGGAGCTCAAGTCACTGAGGTGTGAGAGAGCCCTATGGGTTTTTTGGATAGTTGGGAACAGTAGAGACAAGAGACCGCTCTTTTCTCTGACTGGAGGGCAGGTAGGCAGGGTATACAGCAACGCAGTACATTGCACCTGGCCACTTTTCTTTCTTTTGAAAGCAAAACAGTAAGGACATCAGCTAGAAAAAGAGACATGCGAGAAGGAGCTGGAGGGGGTGGTGAAGATTTAGAATAACCTTGGAATGCAGCAGGACAGGGACTGCTCCGAACCAAGTTACAGAAGCGGTGAGAAATTTGGGGGATGGACCTTCAGGCCTCGGTTTTTGTCTGTGAATAGAACTGGATTAGATGACCACTAAGCTCTCCTCTACCTCTTTAACCTTCAGTTTGTGGAAAAGAATGCCTTAGAACAGCAGTTCCCACTCTTGGTTGCTCAGGGGAACTACTCACTGGGAGGGGCAAATCTTCCACCCAGTGTTGCTGATTGAATTGGTCTGGGATGAGGTCAAGGCACTGAGAGTTTTTAAAGATTCCTAGGAATTTCTAAACTACAGCCAAGACTGAAAATCACTGCCTTAGTAAGATTATCTCACAATATTTTATACTGAAAATAGAATAATCAACAAGATAAACTCTTCTATGCTTAACTTTTAGGCTAAAGAATAAAATGTTACTGTTCCCTACTAGGAGTGGCCATTTCTCTATCTGGTTTTGTTATTCATCTCATTTGGTATCTAAGAGGTAGAACATGCCAGCATCTTAATAGCTAGCTTGGACCGTATGCTTACTATAATTTATGTGACAAACACATAAATCAACAAGCTTTATACTCAAAACAACCCTATAGGTGTTCACATAATCCCTGCTTTACAGATGGTAAAACTGAGCCACAGTGAGTTAAATAACTCTCCTATGGGCACTTAGCTAGTAGCCCCAGGTGGGGAACCCTCTAGGCATATTCAAATCCCCTGGGCAATTCCCTGGCCAGGTAGCTCAGTTGGTTAGAGCATCCTCCCAATACACCAAAACTGCAGGTTTGATCCCTGGTCAAGACATATACAAGAATCAACCAATGAATGCATAAATAAGTGGAACAACAAAAATCGATCTCTCTCTCTAAAATAAATTTTAAAAGTAAAATAAAATACCTCTGGGCAATTATCTCTCATTTAATCTAAGCAGGACTGACCACACCACTCACTAGGAACTCTTCTGGCCATCTTTTCCCTGCATTTTAAAAACTTCAGAGTCAAATCCCTCCAAATCTCTTTCTAAAGTGGTCAATGTTTTGCTCATTTTGTTGAGCCCATGTAAGCAGTCACATGGCATTTGTATTACAACGTGCTACAATCGTAAATCAACACTACAGTTGTTTTAGATGTACCCAAATGTTTCTGAAACTTGGTCAGAACCTATGTGGCCACTCATAGATGAAGGAGCTTTCTACAAGCCAGTACATTGCACCTCAAGGTCGGAAGTACGCTGCCACTCCTGCAATAGATCATTACATCTCCACAATGAAATACAGGCAGTCCACAGAGTGTGCCCCGCTCCACACTCCTTAAAATAGATTCTGTTCAGCTCCATAGTCTATTTTAGATAGAGAATGTAGAATTGTAGAACCAGTTCTACATTCCAGTGAAAGTTAGCCTTTATATGTCTTCTTAATTTTTTAGCCACATACAAGAATTTGTGCATTTGAAGGAAAATATATAAAAGCAAAAACTTGCATGTTAACACAATTTTTTGTACACAGGAATTTTTTTAAGATAAAGATTTTAAAAAGTGAACCCAACCTATTTCTTTTCCGTTTTCCCTTTGTTTTGCAGACATTCTTTTTCATTTTCTTCAGTGACATATCCATTATTTTCATAATTTTTAAGTGCTCCTTTCTGAGTTCTAGATGTGATCATGGCTGTTCTGTTCTCTAGAAAACCGTCTGTTGCTTCAAGTGCTTTCAAATCGTCAGTAAAGCCAGATATGCCATGCCAGCGCCTGGGCAACCTGTGTAGAAACAAGCCATGTCTAACTGCATAACCAAACCATGAGAACTGAAAGGTTCAATTTCCAGCTGATATTGCTGGGCTCAATAAGCTTTAGGTTTGGACATTTCCAATGGCTTTGTTATCACATTAGCTACCTTCTAAGGTTTGCAGAGGCGTTTGGGCAAAGGTAACAATAACATGTTTAGCATTATTGATTTTACTTCTTTGGACATGGGATTAGAAGATGAAGGATGGGGTAGAATGGAAACTTTTAAGTTTGCTTTGATACACTTTTGTGCTCTTTGAATATTTTCTATTGTCCTGTATCACTCTTAAGGAAAGAAAAACCAGACCATATCAGAGTTGTGAAACACAGGAGCATCCTAGCCCCAGTAGTTAGGGTAAGGTCTCAAGGATGGGCCTTTCCTGTTACCTTCCTTTAGGGAGACAGTCGCCTGCAGGGGATAGAGCTGTGAGACACCAGCTCTGCCCTCAGCCTACCTCTTGATAAACCTTTGTGACTGCAGCTGAGTGTCCCCGCGGCTGGGGCCCCCACATTCTTCAGTGAGCTCTGGGGGTGGGTACTGATTTGTTCCACCTAAAAATAAAATGTAAAAATCAAACCAAATCAAAGAAAGTATAAAATAATGTAAAACTTAAATGTAAGTAAGCATAAAGTAAAATAAGGCATAAAAAACAAATTATCCATTAACACAAAAACTTAAGACATAAAATCAAATAAAACATAAAGTAAAATATACAAGAAAGCAACATAAACAAAGCAAAACATTAAAAAAAATCCATTGACATTAAATCAAAAAGATATAAAATCCAAGCAACACATAAAATACAAAAATAAAAGCAAATTAAAAAACAAAATAAAAATATAAAATGCATCCTGTTATATAAATAAAGTAAAATCACAACATAAAAGAATGTAAGAAAACATAAAATCCAACCTAACATAATAAAAAATAAAGTAAAATGAAATTAAAACAGACTAGAAAAATGATTCATTTAGGCTTCTTCTCCCTCAAAGAATCACTAAGCTATCTATAAACTACAAATCTCTCCTCCATCTCCTACAATAAGGAATCTAAAGTTCTAGGATTACATAGTTCACTGGTAGCCAAACAAGGTCTAGAACCAAATCACTGATCTTCGTACCCCTGGAACTGGAGCAGCACAAATGCTGTGTCCGTATTTCTAAGATGTTCATCAGACTCCCTTTTATTCCTCCAGTAGTAAGGGACCCATGACAGGCTGTCACATCCACTTATAACCTGAGAAACTCCTGTCTCCCAGCAAGGAGGGCAAGAAGGCCTCACAGACCACAGTGAGGCACCCTGCACATGGCTTGTTCTGGACAAAGCCCAAGACAAACTCCTGGAAATGTGACCACGAGAATACCCACTTCTGAATCCTACACTCTCCGTTATCATGTGAGGGATGCAGCTATCATGTGAGGGTACTGGTCGCCCTTGAATTGGCTTCAACTAGTTCCGGTTGGAGGTGAGGGCATGAGGACAAGAGGTGGGGAAGGTGTGGCGCCGACACGCGCTGCCAGTGTGCCTCTTAGCCTCTGCTCATGGCTTCATGCACCCAGCCTGAGGTGGGAGGCCCTGGGCGCCTTTCTCACTTCCTAGCAAGTGCCTGAGAAATAAATGTCATATATTCTTGTTCTCAAAGTGTGCTCCATGAACTAGCAGCCTCAACATCACTTGCGAGCTTGTTAAAAATGCATCATCTCAGGCCCCAGCTCAGACCTACTGAATCAGAATCTACATTTTAACAAGATCCCCAGGAGATGTGTGTGCATGTTAAAATTTGAGAAGCACTGTTATACACTACTGGATTCTGGAGACTGGATTATGGCAAATAGTAAGAGCAACAATTATCCCTTACGTTTTCACATCACTGGTGCTTTCAAAGTTCCTCCATGCACATATTTGAATATAAGCTTCACAAATAAGAGACTGTAATTCTCATTTTGGTAAATGAGAAAATCAAGAGGCTAGGTGGAGACCTGAGGCCTTCCAACCACCAGCCGACAAAAAACAGCACTAGTCTGGGCAGCAAGGATGAAGGTTCAGCGGGCACCCGCTTGCCCAAATGCCAGGCTGGGCAAATATTTCTCCCCACCCCAGCCCACACAGGGCATCCCCAGTGCTCAGGAACTGCTCACTTTTTAGGAGGTTCAGGAAGGCCCTTGTGAAGCCCTGGGCGTAGTCCATATCTGGGTCTGAGATCCCCGCCAGGCGCAGTAGGTGCTGCTCAGAGGGGGTGCTGGCCACGTGAGCCAGCTCAGCCAGCTCACGGGCTCCCACGTCCGGGCCCAAGGCCAGCACAAATAGGGTGATCCCCTTGCACTTGGCCTCCAGGGACAGAGTCCTGAGCTTCTCCCGGTCCCAGCTGCTGGTCTCACTGGCCACAATGATGAAAAGAACCTGTGCCCTCCTGGGCAGAGGGGCTGCCAAGAGCACCTTCTCTAGTGTCCACTCAAGGGCATGACCCAGGGCCGGGGCTCCCTGCAGGGGGTGGTCTACGGCCTCACGGATGCGCCTCTGCATCTGCGCCCGGTGACCATAGGAGGTCAGGAGAAAACCCTCAAGTACAGGTGGGCGTCCCGTTCCTGGCCAGAAGCCTGGAGTCGTGTGTGTCACCAGAGCCACGCGCACCCCATGGGAGGATGCATTCGGCTGCGCAGCCACCTCCAGGTTGTTGAGCGTGGCATCCACTAGATGCAATGCGGCACGGTACACTTCGGCCCTGACGCTGCGGGAACTATCCACCACGAATGCCACGTCCATGTCCATCGCCAGGGGTCCAGGCGCGCCCGACCTGCACTCCCGGGCTGGTCGGCACTGGTCTGGGAAGGAAGGGTGAGGGGAGGCCAGAGTTACCATGCATCTCTTTCCTTTCTATGCAAACACAATTACAGACTCTCAAGAACAGCCTCTGCTGAGCACTATTTGTGTTGTGTTGACAAAGCCAGCAGATGTGTGCTTTAAGTAAATGCCCATATTTCAGGAGAAAGAATTGAGATGATCTGATTTCACAATTAATGTTTTTAACCACTACCCCTATGACTTCTTAATCTCTAGGTTCACAAACATCTGCCTGGTTCAGTCCAGGTCCTACCTCTTACGGGGTGTGTGACCTTGTGCAAATTACTCGGCTTCCCACAGCTTCCCACTACCTCAGTTTCCTCATCTGTCAGACAGAGACAATGATGGTAATCGTACCAACCTTGTAAGGTTTAAATTTAAAAAATGAATTAATAAATGTAACTGCTCAGAACAATGCCCGATACAGGAAAAGCTCAAGCTCAATCAATACCAGCTAGGTCTATGCTTCTACAGGAGAGGGGGCTGAGGCTCAGAGAGACAATGTATCAAATGAAATGATGGATGTAAAAGCCACTCATCAATTGTAATATACTCTGCAAATGGCAATTACTGCATTTGACTTGACCAAGTTCTTAGGACCAAATCTCCCTCAGCAGTTTTAGGTCTTAGTGTGGATCAAGAAGAGGGAAAAATTAAATCCCCTCTTGATTTCACCAGTAGGACTCATGCTAGCCCTGGGTGATGTGGGGATGAATGGGAGCCCCTCCACACATGGGCAGGCATAGGTTTCAGCACAAAGTTCTCTCTGGCACAGGCTAGTATGAGGTGTGGGACAGAGCGGTCGAGGCGGCAGACAGAGTCGTCAAATGACTTGCCAATGTCCCACTTGTTGTCGATAGTAAATCCAGGCCTAAACCAGGGCTCTTGACTCTTAGTTCAGTAGTCTGCCCTTCACACTAAATTGCCACAAAGGACAGAACAGGAGCCCAGCTATCTACAGCAAACAGGTACAACAGGTAAGTAAGCAGAGCAGGCCAGAGATAAGACAATAGGGAAGGGAAGGAAATGTGGGGCACTAGCAGACACTTGCCCCATGAAAGGGGGTTAGGCACCACTGAGCTCTGGCTGTGGCCACATGGGAATCCAGCGCCAGTGAGTCTCCAGACTAGCCTGACTTCCTAAGAAAAACGCGTCATCCGGAATTAGTAGGAAAGTCCAAAATTCTAAAACTTTACACATAGCAATAAAATACACATCTGTAGAACAGATCTGGCATGAGCCACCAACTTATTCATCTGTTCTAAAAACAGCGGTCTCCCCAGGAATGCTGTCCAGACTTACCATAGCAGAGAACGCAGCGGGCCACGTGCCCCACATCCTGCTGGCTCTCAGTCTCCCAGATGAATAGGTGAAGTGCGTTGGTTCTATCCATCTAATCCAAACACATATACAAATTTGTCATTTACTAAATTAAATTCAGGCCATTTTTTTTCCAATTCAGATGAGAAAAACATTAATATGATTTTTTTTAAAGGTTTTATTTATTTATTTTAGACAGAGGGGAAGGGAGGGAATAAGACAGGGAGAGAAACATCAATGTGTGGTTGCCTCTTGCACAATCCTACTGGGGACCTGGCCTGGCCCCCAACCCAGGCATGTGCCCTGAATGGGAATCAAACCAGTGACCCTTTGGTTCACAGGCCAGTCCCCAATCCACTGAGCCACACCAGCCAAGGCTAATATGATATTTTAAAAATATATATATAATTATATGAATATATGTGTATATGTCATTTGGCATTATCCATTACAGATACTTACGGTTGTTTCATTCTCTGGTTTTGACCTGGAGGTTGGACTGTCATTGGTGTGGGTACATGAGCTGTGGGTCTTCAGACTCCCAACATGTGTAAAACTCAACCAATGTCATGTTGTGTTGGAATGAGGGTAAGAGAGTTCAGGGTTTGATCATTTATAAATTCCATAAATCTTTACTGATTGTTCACAGTAGGGAAGATGCAACATGATGGGAGTTATAAACATGAACGGCACCTCCCTTTAGGGAGCTGGTCCTGTAACTCATATACCATAATATTAGAAAGAGGCAGATACCTAAGGGAGGGCTTTCCAGAGTATTCCTGGTATTCAGAGTTGAAATATATCAAAACCCGAAGGCAGGAGTGTGGAGAAATCAGGGAAGGCACTGTAGGGATGGCAAATCTGTTTATCTCCTTCACTTAACCTTTCCAGTTAGGATTATTTAATAACTGATATCAAAGTCAAAAAGAAAAATATTAATCATAAAAATAATAAGTCCAACAAAGTCCATGGGCCAAATGGTTAGATAATCAACAAACCCATTCCCTCTTCTTCCTAGGGCTACAATGACACTGCAATTCCCACTCTCCTCTGCAGTTAATTGGGACCAGATGATTGGGGTCTAACTAGTCGCATGAAGGTGGAAGCTATGTATGCCATTTCCAGCGCATTCAGTATACTCCATTCCTCCCTTGGCCCTCATCTGTCAGCCAGATGTAGAGGATCCAGAAAAAGGCATTGAGGTCAAAGGGCATGATGAGGGTCACTGATAGGAGGAACCCAGGCCTTGAAATGGCTGCGTGCAGTAAACCCCCTCCTCCCCTCCACACACATACCCAAGGTCCCACATGCAATTGTGATAGATGGCAGAAATAATACTTGATTGTATTAAGCCACTGAGACTTGGGCATGAATGATTTCAAAGTTAACCTGCCCTGACTAATACAGGCTATTTTGCACCTCATGATGAAATTAGAAATGCTTCTCCCAGGAACTGAGGTGTGCTTTGCAAAGAGGTGAATATGTAAGCCTAGTCATGTCCAATATTTTTGTCTACTCTCTGTCCAATCACATAAGACAGAGCTCCACTGAAGATAAGTTCCTCCTCCTTCAACCCTGTGGCCCAGACCAAGCAAGCTCTGGACCCCCTTCTGGTAGCGAGGTGCTAGATATATAAAGATATCATGCTAGCTCTCAGAGAAATAAACAGGCTGGGGTTACTTTGAAAAATAACTTTCTGTAACATATACTCCATAAAGAGCTCTTCGTTCTTTCTGTTTAGGACTGTAGCATATCCCAAATATTCTCTCAGAGTGAGCATACTTAAAGAAATATACCCTTAAGGAATATAAGGGTATATGATTACCCTTGTGGATAAAGAAATATAAAGAAATACACTTTTGTTTATGCTAATGTAACACCAAAAAAAGAAGACCCAAACATGATAACTTTCCTAAGTCTCCTGAGAAGAAAGGTAAAATGCATCCTCTCTTGCTCTTCACATGGTAAAAGCAACCTAAACTACACTTTTTTCTGACTTAGAGATCCAAATCAGCCAAGACTGATTAAGCAGCTACTACATCAAAGTGTTAACAAGCCATGTTGAGATACAAAAATGACATAGCCACACCTTCAAAAAGTTTAAATGGAAAGATAGACTATTTTCAAGAAAGAGATCTAACAACACATTTTAGGAACACAAAAAGGGGACACTAATTTAAAGGGGAAGGGATAGAGAGAATCTGAAGGAGATAATAGCACCTGGCACTTTTGAAAGCGAGAGTAGGATATTTGCCTGGCAAAGAGACAGGGAAAAGCATTACAGTGTGGAGGCACAAAGGCCCAGAGGTAGGCAGGTTATCTTTAGAATTCTTTTCAAGGCTCCCACTCCCCAGAGATTAGAGAACACTTGCTTCCAATTTGTAGCTACACAGCACACCTGAAAGCCTGAAACTCCTTGCCAGCTGGAGGAGGCTGACATGAAATGCAAGTGAAGAGTTGCCAACTTTCAACATTCATTCAGATCTACTCCACATGATTATCAGTTCTGTGTACTGACCAAGCCAAATGGACCTAATTAATCATCAAGATTAGAGAAAACAGTGTAGACACGCATATGACACATTAAAACTTTTACTGGAAATCACATGAGGCAAGTTGGAAGCTTCTGAAATCAGAATCCCTGGCAGGGTTTCAGGAGATTTGAGGAGGCTAAACTTGGAGCATCAGTTTTTACCCCAACAGCTGTAGGAAAATGCTGGACTACATTATTTTCAAATCACAGGAAACAGGGGTGAAGTGTGTTATAAAAGGCAGAATTTGTGTGAATTTTTAAGGTAGAATGAAAGACTTCAAACAAATCCAAATATTTCCCCAAGTTTGTAAAAAGGAATGGCCCATGGAAAAAGCTTATGTAGCACAAATGGATTAGGTGTCATGAACTCAGGTCCTAGTCCTTCATCTACCGTGACTGGCTATGTGACCTTGGACAAGCCTTTGGCCTCAGCTTCTTTAGAGTTTTAGGTAGGAATCAATACTGCTCAGTTCTCTTCCTGTTTCAACACAGCTTGGTCCTCAATTACTGTTTTCTGTATTTGCCTCATGTTCAGGACACTCCGTTACTTTTTCTCCCCTGGGCAGCTGAGATGATGCCCTTGTCCATTTTGGCTACTGGTTGGGAAATGACCAAATTCAAATGAACTGGAATCGCTAAAAAAAACATGCATCTTTTAAAAAACTTTTCTTAGGAAGACTAATTTTATGATCATACTTAAAATTTTTCCTGCTCCTGCAAAAATGAAATTGCAGGAACAAGTATACAGAAATGGAGGTCCACAAGGAATTATGATTCAGTAGAGATTCATCTGTACATGGTTGTTATTAATTAACACTGACTTGGACTTTGCCAGCATGATCTTTGTCGCTAGTAAGGGAGATAAGATAATTCCTGAGAAAGTTCAAGCAGAGATATAGTGTTCAGAGGGAATCCCAGTGTGAGGAGAGAAAAAGGGCTCTACAATTCCTTCTGCAAATTCCCATCAGTCCCAGAGAAGGAAATCTCAAAAATGGGGCACCTTAAACACAAACCAAGTGATGTGTTTGAGGTTTAAAGCTTTACTGTACTTTGAATCAGCACCTAAGGTCATTCTCTCAACCAACGGCATTCCTAAATGTCTAACTGTCATCTCTAGGGGCAAGTTGTATACTAAACACAGGAGTATATGAGGGGTGGAGGGGATACAGAACAGGGATTTACATTAATAGACAGAAAGACATTTATTTAAGAGACAGAAAGACATTTCCTGAAAGGATATAGACCATCCTCACACCTCAGTCCTCACTATTAAATAACTCCTCGTGGGCCCTGAGCTAGCGAGACCCATAGGATCTCAGCTGCTGTGTTAAGCTGCCAGAGGACATGGAACAATGTTCATTCCTGGAACTGAGCTGAGGGAGGCTCTTGGCTTAGACAGATGGGAGGAGAGGCATAGGAAGCAAGTGCTGTGGAGGAGGATTTGCCTTGGACAGAGGAAGAACTAACCAGACCCTAAAGAGAGAGAGTTAGAAACAATCTGGCATCCAGGTGAGGTATGGTCTCAGGGAAAATAAGGGCCCAACACAGAAAAGAATATTCACATAACCTGTGATTGACTCCAGGAACCTGAGCCCCCAGTTTGGCTCCAGCCATTTGGCATGGTCCCACCAAGACTGCTGTGAACCAGTGAGCTCTTCCTGGACTCCCCTGCAAATATTAGGAGTTGACCTTGGATTTATGGTGTTGGATGGCAGAGTGGGATAGAGAACCAGACATATGGGAAAGCCAATGCCAGGACTAAGCAGTTTAGAACAAGTCATTTCACCTCTGCCCTTCTCTTACCTCCTTTGGAAATGCAGATTATCATTATTAACTTGTAGGACAGTTGAGATCAAACCGACACTCCTCAAACTTTAACATTCATACAAACCATTGGGGATCTTGTTAAAAACGCAGAACCTGACTGATTAGATCAGGTGTGGAGCTTGAGATCTGGCATTTCTGACAATCCTGGTGATGGTGATGCTGAGGCAGCTGGCTCCAGGTCTACATGTTGAGTGGTGAGGGGATAAGATGACAAGGCATGAAAAGCATGTAGCATGGTGGTTAGAACTTCATATGTGTTCACCAAATGGAGCCTATCCAATTTAATGAACAGTTCCTGGGCAAAGGTGCAATCTTAAGGGCGTTGAGAAGATGAGCATGCACATAGAAAAGGTCAGATGTCCCCGTAGGCACTATCTCCTATAATTCCCACAACAAACCTGTGAGTGTACCCCTGTGTTATGGGTGAATAAATTGAGACTCCAGCAGCAAGTAACATGTCCAGATAACATAAGGGACAAAGCCAGAGTCTGGAGCCTCATTGCCTAATTCTTTCCTCAGCTGCTGATCCTGGCTTTAGGCTTTAGGGGAGTAACAGTCTGACAGAAAACAGCAGCCCTCAAAGTCTCAGCAGGGTAGTACCATGGCTTCTGAAAGGGCCTACCTTGGCAATCGAGTATTTTCTTTAAAAAAAAAAAAAAAGAAAAAGAAAAAAAGAATGTCCTGTGCAACTTTTCTGAATTCTGAAATTATAT